ATAGTTAGTTATATGCTTTTCTTAGGTTTCACTATTTATTTGTGATCGCTGCAAATTATTTTAGTATACACGTCTTTCTGATTTGTCTGCGTACTAATAATGTGAGCAAGAGTTCCTAAACTCTGCCTTTTTATTGAAAAGTATGCATGATATGAATTTTGACTGCGTTTTTCTTTCTATTTTTTTGTACATATTAATGTTACAGTGCTATCTGTGGGCTATGCCTGGTAACATGGTATATATACATAACATGGTTGAGGCAGTGATTCCGTTTGAATGCTTTTTTTTTACAAATTGCGTAATAGAATGTTCGTCTCTTTTTCTGTTTGAAGTTTTCTCGAAATTTTCACCATCGTGGATAATGACGCTATTTCATCGTCTGTATGCATTGACAGTGCTTGAAAATTCTTAGCGGTTATGTTACCAACAGAAAATCTGGGAAATTAACATTTTAAATTATATAATCAAAATTCACTCAATATTGGATGAGTTTTCACGTCACGAAGCTAATCTTACACAACTCCACCAACGATATACAGTATATATATATTTGAATAAGTATTTGATCCGTGAATAGTAAACCGGTTGGATAATTATATATCAGACTTTCGCAATACTTGTTTGCCGCTTGGTCCTTTTCGATATACCGGTACGTCGAGGCGGCCTGGATATCCAGAAGACGCCCAATTGAAATAGAAACAAATAACCAATACGAAGTACGAACCCCCATCATGCGAGTAACCATGGAAACAGCAGCGAAAGTCAGCACAGCAACGGGATACATATATCACCCCGGCTTGCTGTCAATAGAATGGGATTTTATCCAGTGAGGAGAAGCTGTTAAGACAGCTTAATCATATTAGATAACGTTGGTTTGTTCGTCGGTGTTGGAAATGAAAGTGGACGGAGACAAGTGCCGGAGTTATCGATTGGTGAAAGGCATGACGTTAGCAGGTAAAAATTGAAATCTAAGAATGACACATGGATGAAATAACTACCGGAATAAAACAATAATGTATATATATGGAATAAACACAGATTTATTAAAACGCAATATCAGTAAAACTTAGAAATTGATAAGTATACTGGCACTTTACAGAATACATAAAAGCTATAAGTCCGTACTTGATCAGAGACTAATATCATGGAGCATGAGCGAAGTGAGACACCGTAGCCCAAGGGTCGGCAAACTTTTGTCGTTCGCGGGCCAAAATTAAAGGTAGCAAGTCATTGGCGGGCGCACATATTTTTAGAAAGTTAAAAACCGAGGGAATGGCCAATGAATCACTTTTTTCTTAGAAAGATTTCAGTTATATTTCAAGCAGCGCGCGAAAACTGATAATTTGAATATTTTCTGCGCCATTAAATCATTTGCACTCAGCATCAAAATTTGTCTAATTATAATCAATTTATAGGCTCATTAAACGAGTGATTGTAAATTATATACTTGTTAGGTTATAATATAATTTAGTGTCTCAAAACAAATTCTGTTTCGTAAAGAATATAATCGTCAATACAGTTGTTTTGTTATTATAATTCAGTGAAGCGTCGCGGGCCGGATTATATTGTTCCGCGGGTCGGATCTGGCCCGCGGGCCGCAGTTTGCCGACCCCTGCCGTAGCCTATATGTTTGGGCTCCAAGATTAGCCTATCCGCCCCTTATAACGTTTATGAAATAATAATTAAACGTTTATGACATAATAATTAATTGATTGGAATATTGTTGAAAGACACATGGCTTTATGGCATATGTATAACGCAGGGCATACAATGGCGTGATTCAGTTACTGCGTACCTACTCTTAATTAAGGGACTGTGAATGAAATCAAGTATTGAGCTGACAATGACGAGGAATATCATATCCTTTTCTGGGAATAGTTGTCTTGTTACTCTTTTTCATATTTACTGAGGACACAGCCGGTTGTATTCGAAGTTCGGGGAAAATATATGCGACCTCTCAAGATTCCGCAGTATTTTCTGCATGTACTCTGTAATAGTGCCATGGAAAATCAGGAAATATATTCACATTCACAACGCAGAAATTGCTATGGCGCTTCTATTCTGTACCAAGCGCAATATACTTGTCGAAAGTAATAAACAATCATGTCAATAATTATTAAATATATACATAACGTTTAATTCAATTCAAAAGTCTCACTGTACAGTGTACACTAACACAAAAAATACCTTTGTTTGATTCAAATAGAATATTTATCTTTATTCTCGCTATGGACCTTTCCCCGACCTTTGACCCCCGAAAAATTCTCCCTATACTTTACCATTGCAAAATTTTCGGGGATATTTTAAGTGCTTTCGCGAGTTGGCGCCTGTAAAATGGGGTATGTGTTTTAAACCATCATTATGATTCATCACATACAACAATCTGTTTTTTAAAAGTACCGGTAAAGAATTTTAGCCTAGTCTATGATAACTATTTATACACTAATTTTTTATTACTGAAATTAAATTAAAACTCCTAGGAAGACAGAGTGATCATTGAATTATCTGATTCATATTTAAGTTTCCGAAACACAACAGAAAATTAACGAATAGAGTCCAAAAAATCGAAAACGAGGTAATGTTTACGACCACGCTTGAAAATCTGTCTGAGTGAGAAAAGTGTCTGAGCTGATGCGAAATTGTTACGTCACTTTTTGCATCTTGCTGATTGGCCAATGTCACGAAGTAAACAAGGAAGTCGATGCTCGGGGAAAGGTCCATAGCATCCTTGCGTTACACGCATACGGATCCTCTACGGAATACGGAAACATAAAGCAAGGAAACGTAGCTAGTCTCGTGTAACCCCAACTGTTAGAGTTAGACATATAATGTTATTGTTTCTTTATAATTGATGACCGTGAAACAGCGTGGCCACCTGCTTTCGACCGCGATCAACTAAAATTTTCAAAATAGCTCGAGATCGAGTGATCGGTAAAGATTCCATAAACAAAAATGCGTGAATACTGAATACGTTGATAACTGCACACACGTATACAAAATTTCCACTGTTGCCAATACGCTCGACTCTGCGGGCGCATTCTCAATGGAATTGCCTCAAAAATTGGCATTTTTTATATTCCATTCAATTTGTTAATTTGAATATTGTGACCTCGATCAAGCCAAACGTTGTATCTTGAAACGACAAAACAAAATTCCCTATTGTTGTATACCATGAGGTGGGTTGGCTTGGATATTTATATTCTTTACGTTTCAAAATTATAATGAGATGTTATCTGTGAAGTATCATTTACCAAGTGTGCTAGTATATTCATTGACTGATGTTTTTAACGCGTGATATATTCTTTCATTAGCAGCATAAAAGTTTCATCATTCCATTGGACAGGATTATTTTGACATACTGTCTTTCTGCATTTTTACATTATTATGATGTAAGCAAGTATTGCTAAAATCTGCGTTTATTTGTGAGGAATATTCTGTATTTCGAATGCAATTTTTGTTACCATTTATTACAATGTATACCAGAATAGCATAATAAAAGCTCAATTCGTAAGAATTGCTCATTTTGCTTAGTGGTTAATTCATCCCTGACTACAAATTTGTCAGCATAATAGAGGAGGAAAGAATAGAGTCGGTATATTGGATTGTGAACCAAACTAATACCTTCAGTAAAATCGAATATGAATAGTATACGGTGAAATGCTACGCAAACATGAACGTAACTATCTGTCGGGGTTGCGCGAGACTACCTTTCCTTGCGTTATGCATTTGCGCAAGAGGATCCGTATGCCGTATGCGTGTAACGCAAGAAAACTGTGGCAAGAATAAAAATGACTATACTATTTGATTCGCTTTTTAACAGTATTGAAGTTACGGTGAAATGCCATTTAAACGTTAAGTGAATGTCGCTTTTTAACAGTGTTGGAGTTACGGTGAAATGCTGTTTAAACGTTCAACAACTCGCGCTTTGTAAGAGTATTACTGTAAAAAAACGTCAGTCGTTACATGTTTTGAGTAGCATTTTACCGTAATTTCAATACTGTTGAAAGGCGTAAGTCGTGGATGTCTCACTTCCCAGGACGGGGGAAAGAATATTTACTCGAATTTTTGTGGTGGAAGCTTTCTCTTTCTAGTGTGAACTTAGTGATTCGCCGCAGGGGCCTAACCAGGAGGGCGGAGAAGTTGATGTCGGCACCCATCCCCCCTTTGTAACATACATAACAAGTTTTGCAGCTTGAAACTCTTTTTAAACCTTCAAAAATTTTGAAACCCCGTTTTCCGACCTCCGAACCCAATAGCTGTTACGGTTTAACTTGGTAATTACAAATTTCATACCCCCTACAGCGGGACATAGTGTTGGAAATTTCATTTTCTCTCAAGTCCTTTTCGCGAATACGATCTACGTGCTTTGGAACCAGTCTAGGCATGAGATACCTAAAATGCAGTATATACGTCATAGCATTGGATGATTGGCATGTATATTGCAATGTCTAGCTTTTCTCGAAAAGTCTATCTTGAAAATGAATTTTATAGCTACTTCTACCAGAAAATTCCTTATATTCATTAAATCAATATTTATGGGTTGAATGAACAAGATTTCTGACAATCGTTTTAGGTTACACACAGAATGTTATTAGTGACCAACTACTATGTCTTTCAACGTTAGCGCATTGTCAAGCACGTAGAAAGGTACTCCCGTAGTATGTGTAGTTACGGTTGGGTCATGATTTTATTACGATTTTCGTTATTTTAGTTATATTACGAGTTCGGGGACTGCCTGCGTTAGCCAAGTGAATATACCCCCTGCCCATAGGTTTCAGTCCCTTTACACAACTTGTTATAAAAATGGTGTAACAAAATTAGTTACCTCCATATTAGTACACATACTTTTTGAGCGCCGGAAAACCGGACTCTACAGAAAGTTTGGTTGAAAGATATCCCTGAATAAAACTGCCTTGTGTGAGGTCTAGTCTAATTGCATATTACAGATTACGAACGAAATCCTTTCCCCCGGTCCTAGATGTCCAAAATGATCCAACAAATCCACTTTTATAGTTTACCACAACAATATATTCGATGGAAAAAAGTTAAAAAAAAACGATATGAATATATATAATCTTAAGGGACAAGTGAAAAAAAAGCTCGTTGGTATCGAGGCAAGATAATCCATCAACGGAAGGCAAGACTTTTTTTATTACTCAGGCAAGAAATTCGAAATGCTGACGGAAGCGTGGATAAATTATAGTAAATATATATGCATGTTGGTCATTTTTAGAAAAGGCATCCATCAAATGACTTCTTCCTTGAACCTGGGACAAGATCGATGACGAGAGATTCCAGATCTAATTGACTGGTCGAGGTTGAGAGTAACTGGAAATAGTGCGGTTACTTTCCGTCTTGTGAGGGAAGGACTTCCTCGGAGGAAACTGCGCAGCAATGCAGGGTCTTCGTCTAATGTTAACATAGAAACACTACCTCCGTCTGCAATTTCCTGTTCAACGTAATTTCTAAACAGAGAAGGTTGTTTTAAACACCCAAATCGTGGACGATGCCAAACTATTTAGAGTTTCTATGTTTGCTAGCCTCAGTCCAGGACAAAATCACACTGATATCGAGTAGAAACAACAGGAAAATCAGGCAGACGAGAAATTATAATGGTATCATTCGACAAAATCTAAACCTCCTCAAAGAGATGTATGTAGGTACATAGAAAAAAAATGTCTTACAGAATTTAGCTTTAGGTACAGAGGGTATATTTCTCAGCTATTCAGTTTAATAATGTAGAAGATACTCATGACTCATGAGTAGGCCTATATGAACGTTAAGCTTACTCGTATATGTCACTGAGTTTTGCATCTAATTCAATTTTTCTGTTCGTCATTTTAGCCATCCTTCTCTGATCCGAATCGTCAATCACTTGCAAGATATAACTAACTCTGTAAGGCCACTGATCTGTCAATACGATCCAGCGAACGAGATCTTCAGCCTCAGCACGAGTCCATTTAAACAGAGGTTCTGTCAATAGTAAACATATATTTAAAATATTGGAATTGAAAAGTGTTACGGAAGAATCAAACTACTGTATATGAATATAATGACATGCGAGTATGGATTAAGTTGAAGGCGGTTTAAACTAGCTAAGTCAGATTCCAGCACAACTAGGAAAACGAATTTTCATGAGTGATCAACTCGTTCCGAGTAAGAACATACATTTTTCACTTCTAGAATCGTAAAAAATGCGAAAAAATACTTATTTCTTATAAACCAATATCGAATATTTCCGAAGTAGAAATGCGCAAAGATAAAATATACAATCAAACTAGTTTATATATCTTAAAGTTACTAGTAACGTAACTATACTTTGCAGATAGCATTGAGACAAACCTCAGACTATCGCATCAAAGTCAGTCGAAATTAAAAATATTTACCGTTATCTTCTGGCGCTAAATTGCTGTTAAAGACCGACGTTCTTCTGTCCGATCTGTAGTGAGATTGATTTGAACTTTTTGAATGCATTGCGACATATTGTCGACGCAATCTCTATAAAATTGAATGACATGTAGTATAAACTCGTCGATGTAATGTTTATAGTACAGCGCGATGGCAGTAATGATAGCATCGCAGGTTTGACCAGCTGGGCCATTGTTTAAAAACGGAATTCAGTAAGAAATAATGAAAGTTTCGTCTAATTGAAAACAGTTAAACAAACGCATTCTAGTGCCCGCTCGCATTGAAACTTAATCAGAGCAAACAAGTGGAACACCTGTCACACCTCAGCACTAATAGACACACAACAATATCATCATTCAATGATTTCTGTGATGTCTAGCAAGTGATCAATTTATACTGTTACGATGAATATTTTCATCACGTTCCAACTAAATTTAGTAGACTATATATAGAAGTAAACGGGAAAAAAAATGAAAATGACTATTAAATTGAAAAGGGGATTTACCCGTTCCTCCATGCATCTCATAAGCTGAGTTGTGAGTGATAGAACGTTGAATATTCTTTTCATATTTCTTGGATTCCCACAAATATGTTGACGGATAAATCCGCTTGTTGATATCTGACCGTGTTCGTCTGACCAAGCAGATTCCAAAGCTTCCCTAAATCGCGGTATGTATACGTATATTATTGGTTAGGCAACAATGCTAAGACTGAAAAGTAGTGTATAAAATATAAAAAAAAACAGGTTAGGTATTTGGTTTTAATTTCAACGCATAATCAAATCAAATTTTGATAACACCGGTGTTCTAATAAATAGACAAGATAGCATGTAAGGTTAAAGATCATATAAAGTTTCCATATGCTTTAAAAAGTGTTCCTATGGGTTACATAAAAAGCAAAATGTCGGATGAAATATCGGGTGCCACTGGACTCACGCGAATTAAAAAAATAAAACTAATGGCCTTCTAGCGATTTCCGAGTCCTGAAAATTTGAGAATAATTGGTACTCTAGTTGTGGAAAAAGGCGAATTTTCCCAGCAAAAACAACTTGGCCAAACGATCCCTAATGTACACTTCGTGTCTAAAAGAAACTTAAATTTAGTTTTAGAATTCAGAAAAACGATTACACAACTTCGAATTCTATTTACCAACAACATTCAAATCTATAGTTATCGCGCAAAGGTACTGTTGTTTCTTAAACATTGCATATAAATAAGATCATTAAATTCATCCCAAACCTAAAATATTCCTTGTCGTTCATGAGTATGGACCAAACAAACCTGCATTTGAAAAGAAATCTTGAAAACTGGTTTTCTTCTGTGTTATCATTGTTTTCTTGAGCAGTTGGCAAAGTTACGGAAGGATGAGCTTTTCCTTTGCCGTCAACGGAAGTTGTACTACCACCATCTTCATCATCAAGCTCGGAAACCGAACTGAAAAAAAAAAATAGGTTGTTACTTGTGACAACAAACGGATTCGATTCAGCTGTCTTCCGTTGTTCAAGTTTTCATGCGCTACAAAAGTATATTTTTCGTTTCGGGAAGTCTTTGGTACAAATTATGCGAAGATATATATAATAAAGAACAAATACATACGCGTACGGTATTTATTATGAATATCTCATCAAAAAATAGATTACAAATACAGGCAGAACGTTTTGAATTAATATCCTGAAAATAAAACGTACACACGCAGATGACATCGGATACAGTCTCCCTCCGCGAATTGTAGTACATAAATCATATGGCACAAAAAGTGATGAAAACTATACCCACATATGAAGAAGCACATATCGTTAATACATGGAAAAATTCAATTAACTATGGGAAATTGTAAAGCTAACCTATAAGATAGCATTTCAGATAGGTAATTCTCACTAATTTTGTTTTCCTGGAATCGGAGTGACATGGATATATCAGGGAAACAAACCTGTGGTTTTCAATCTCCAATTTGCGAGTATTGTTCCCAACAACATCACCTGGGATTTTAATTCTTGATTCGGCTTTGTCTTCATCTGTGGCAATTGAATGATGTTTCTTGATTCCAATAGAATCTAATTGATCACCTTTGCTGGAAGGGTGGTGATCAGAGTCCGCACCAGATGATCCGGCCTGATTAATATCCAGAACTGGGAAACGTCCCAACATAGTTTCGTCAGCAATGTCCATAATACCAGCAAAGTACTTTCTTTTTGCATTTCCTGCAACCTGTAAATAACGAGCTGAAATCGGTTTATGCAAAAACATATTTGAAACAGAAAACGTTGAAATACATAGCAATTCAACGTGACAACGGTGATCAACTAAAATTGTAATCAGCGCTCTCCAACTCCACGTCTAGTCTAAATATACTACAATGTAAATATTAATAGATTTTGAGTTTTTTTTTTTCGGAAAAACGCAATAGGTATGAGAAGTAAAATAAATAAAATAATTAAATAAATAAAAATAAATTCTTTATTTGAAGCCTTCTAACCTGGAATAGGTATAAAATTCTGGAAAAAGGCTACCAATTAAGATGTTACTATGATACTTTGTAGTAAATGCATCGTTGCATCAACTTTTTGCTTGAGAAATATGAAGTCATGCATTTGGATAGTCCTCAAAACACGGCGCACATGAGAATTTGGCCATCGGATGAAGCTTGGGTCAAAGAAGGTATTGCTTTACAATAAATGAACTATATAAGGCCATTCGTAAAGTCAAGGGTGCCTATAGTTATCAGATCTCACAATTGAGAAATGATATAGTCATGATTTGCATCCCAGTTTAATTTCGTGTGGTGATGTGAACATATCGCCAACGCGTGCATTTTGTATGAGTGTTTCTTTAAAATCCAAGTTCATAACCAATATTATACACAAGAGAATCAAGCCATTACCTCCGGCAAACAAAATGGCAAATTTATGATTTTCTTCAGATATTCGTGTCCTGTTAAGTTCGCCTTCAACATAACTTCACCCATATCCTGCTCGATACATTTCACAGCTACCCTGGAATCAACCGCTATAAGACATAGAAACGGTGACGATTTATCACTCAGCAAGATGCTTACAGCCTCCAGAACAGACTTGACCTGTATGATTGATGTAAAATATCAGCAATGTAACGCTTGCACTCAAAATACTTATTATATTCACTCAAATGCTTATATTATTGGACGCAAATAGACGAACGATAATAGTGCAGTTAAAAATGAGCAAATGAGCAAATTTGAATAAAATACGGTACATTGATAGTTGATTATTAATAAAGTTTTTCTCGATATCAGTAATGATTGAGGAATAGATAGAGTGCCAAAAACTTATGGCAGAATGCACAAACACGATAAATGAGTATAAAAAAACGACATTTTGAGGGTTGCCAGAAAAATAAAGGGTCTATTAAATTAACATGTACTTGGTGTCAAAATCGCAAGTAACTTAGCGCTGCAAGTGCATTCAAATGGCTCTCCATGAACTAATGATACGAATACAAATTTACATATAGAAGTAGGCAGTATTTTTCTAAAATTATGTACCAGTTGAGTCAATTGTCTTGATCACATGACTCACCTTATCGTTAGGACATCGGTCAAGATCATCAATAGTGATAACAATTTTATAATTTATACGATGAGTAAATCTTATGCAGTTGATCAATTGAGTCATAAGCATTACCTATGAATAAGTATAAGAAATTATAGGTGCAATACACATCAATACGTAATTTCTTTATACGGAAATTTCGAGAAATTAGATAGCTAAGGAGCTGTGCGAATAAAAACAGGGAATTTTCTTCTAACTCAGTGATATTAAATAACCATTGTTAGATGTATTCAATAGAGAATAGATGGTGGTTTCGGGTTGCGTAGAATCATTCCGAAACTGAACAAATTTTTTCCAAATCGATTGCTCTATTGAATTGCACTAATTGCATTGGTGGACCACAAACTAATTGACATATTCAAAGTATATTAAATGTAATGGACACCGTATGTGAAAAGGTGGATATGCAGTGTAAATATCAGGAACTAAATAAAAAAAATTATCATTGGGAAGGTGACAAATGCGCATTTAGGATCGTTTTAAAATACACCTGACTCAAAAATTATACAAATGGAAAATTTAAGATCTATTTCTACGTCTAGTGAACTATGTGCACTAATTTCCATCTGAGTTGATTCCCGAAATAAATTTGAGCACGTTTTTTTACTGAGAAAATGCGTGTGATGTTTCGTTATAATGATGGAGAATCAACATAAATCGGAAATTAAGAATAGTATCAACATCCGCTTTTTGAGCAAATTTTATTTTTAGTTTGTTTTTCAATATACACTTGTAGGCGACAAAAAAATACAGTGTTAAAAATAACCTGTAATAAATACCTCCGTTTTCACATCATTCATGAATCCGAGAGCGGTTCCCATACTTCCTTCTGTACCGGCCAACGCCTTTCTTATTCTTTCTGTTTGAGAATTGCACATCGCCCAACAAAACCTGAACGCAACAACCATGACGCCGACCACTGCAGGAAGCCAAGAAAATATTTGAACCTCAATCGGAATGGTTCTGGTACTCTGAAATGAAATTTTACACATCATTGATAGCATAGCCTAAGTGTGTGCAATTATTAATGATTTTTTCAAGATTTTTTACTACCCGGAGTCAATTCAAAATTTTTCATAATCCGGAGTTGGGAGTCGAAGTCGATAGTAAATTTCCACCGACTCCACAACCTATTCGAGTAACTGAATACTTTTCTAGAATTTTTTATTTTTATTATTTATTATTAATTAGGCAAAAATCAGTTGTCAGATACTGACCTCGATCTATTTATTTTTTAAAAAGCTATGTCTCTCGTTTTTCTTTATGCCCACTAAGGTGGCTTGGAAACGATCTAACTTCAAAGTCAGAATCAAAAGCAAAACTAATTGCTCGCTTTTTTTTGTTAAATGACAGTAAAAAAAGAGGAATGCTCAAATATTTGGACGATAAAGTTCGGTACCATGGCAAGGCCTTAGTTGAAAACCAAATTTGCTGGAACGATCGTCGGAAAAGCGTGATGGAATTAAGTGTTCACCTTTAAGTAAAATAAAGTTGCAATATTTCGACAAAATGTCTGGCCCAACAGGACTAATTTGAAAATTACAAAATAAACAGAGTGATATAGCCGTCCAGCGGCTTCGTCCATCTTTAAGTACTGAAGAATAAGATTTGAGTTAGCTGCGGAGAAAGGAGACTTATTTTCGCGACAACATATAAATATGTATACTTCGCGTACAATAACATATTCAGATTACATTACCTTTAGCACGTTTAATTCCAGCGTATTGGCGACGATTAAAAGGGTGATAGGAAACAAAATTGCAGCAACCACAAAGACGACACAGCAGTAAAGAAATGGGCACCCACAACAGACGGTCTTTGGATGTCTTTGAAAATGAGAGAAACTTCTGCAGCAGGAAACTGGCGAACAACATCGAGGTTTGTCAGCTTCGTCCGCCGTCGTTCTCTGTGATGCCGAAGTTGGAAACTCTTGCTCTATACATCCGCTAGGTCGAGGTGGTTGAACTGGCGATAAATTTTGTAAAGGTATGCCTTTGCCTCGATCTCCTTGACAGTTGTTTTCAGATGAATTACGAACCAGTCTCGTATTGGGTGCCGCTTCTTCTTGGTCGATATCAGCTGAATTCGCGTTGTCGGTTGTTACATTTTGACTATTACGGCATTTTTTCGGACGTTGCTTTTGAACGTCAAAGTTATCTAATTGTAAAGCCTTGAGCGCAAAATTCGCCTCTTTGTCGTTGCAAAAGCGGACATACCACCAGTCTTCACGATATATACAGCATTGTGTTACGACACCATATTCTTTCATCATAAGTAGAATCCTATCGTGTTTTTGGCCTACGTCTTCGTCAAAATTTGCAGTAAAGTGAAACCTCACATAAATTGCCCTGGGATCTTCCTTTTTCCACAAAGATGCTTTTAGAGGTCCAGATTTAGAAGGTCGTTCAACCTGTTCAAATAATACAAACTTTATAGTACTATTTATATAAAACGAATTTAAGAGTATAAAAATAACATTTTTCGGCAAAAAAAAACTCGTATCGTCGACGTGTAACGTAAAAACTCGACTGTCTGCTTTTCATTGGCATTGACATGTGAATTAGACAAATTAAGGAGATAAATAAAGTTGTTATTCGAGAGAAAATATTGCGATATTTCTTTATCAGTCTGCTATATTTCAGGTATCCTTCTGTCAACTGGTTCAAATGTACCCGAGGTAGTAAACAAATAGAAAGGCCAAGTTTACAAGTTTAATACACAATATCACTCACAATACCCCCCAATTATGAGGAGAAATTCAAAAAAAAACATATAATATTATCGTATGACTAGTACAAGTCACTGACAAATCTCGATGTCGAAGCACGAATTATGTATGAGAAATGCCACGTAAACAAGTTTCGAAATGACACTGACTATCTAATAAGCATAACTCGGTAAATTTGGACAATTTTATTTTTATTCAAACCGCGTTTTACTGCTATGGCTGTTGGTCGATTTTCATCAGAAAATGGACAAACAACCAATGATTTTTTTTTCTTTTCAAAAAAGCATTTGTTGATATTTAAAGAAATTACTTCCCAGAACTTCATAAATATTAACCACTGGCGAAATTTTTTCATACCCTAGATTTTCACTTGATACAAAGATGAAAAAAAAATTGTACCTGTATCATTCGAAAAAGTCGAGTACAAACTGCGCCAAATTCGTTCTCAATAGCTTGAGCAAGATTTGTTACAATTCCCGCCCATAGTACATCGCTTCCAGCATACTGCCATGCATGATAGTTAACGAAAATATATCGAACAGGCATGCTGTAAAACAAGAACAGTGTTTCATAGATGATTGCGTGTTAAACGGTTGAATTATAATCTATTCTGAGCACGGGTAGCATTAATGATAACTAAGTCAAAATAAAATAGTTAAGTACTAGTTAATAAATCATCAGTATTTCAGTAATTTTAATATAAATTGGTCCGATGTATCAAGCTTAAGCTTTCTTTTTTAGTTTTGTTCCCTGTGTCATTTCGTCCGAGTTGTGAATATAAAATTGTCGTCAATGAAAAATATGAATTACGACAAAGACAGGTAGGGAGGGATTCCGTGAGGATGTGTGGCATGTATTGGTAAAGTATTGCAAAGCGTTAATAAAACAATCTCGTCGTTTAGGTATTTCGATTGGCCCTGAAATTTTCGAATAATGATGCTAGAACAAAGATACTTGGACATCCGACAAAAAAGTTTCGAGAGCATTAGGATCGATTATATATTTATTCCATATCGCAATGAAGGCTATTAAACTATCCCGTAGTGTAGACATTCGCAGTTTATATTTCAGGCAGCTACACGGAGCTGTGTGCCGCCAATCAAGTCCAAATTAATCCGTTTCATTACTAGGTAAAAAAGATTGTCAAATTGCGCCACAAGTCTTTTTCTGGAACAAATGACCTACATATTACTGAATGTATTGAGAATCGAAGTCCCTTACAAAAGAAGCGAAGTACTATGACATCACAGTTCAGTTTAGTCACACCACTACTCTATCTATCAAGTATACTTGTAAACCCACGATCGCAACTTACTATTATCTTTATCAGATTTTACCAATGGTAAAATAACAAGCTGATACTTGGTCACGCTATATTCAAATGAAGTTTGCTGTAGGGTTAGAATCATAACCTACGTTATTGAAAAATTCCCTAACGTGGAATTGTTATTCTTCTTGGCGCCTATATGACTCCAATACTGGAATAAAATTCCACTTGCCAGTTTCCCGCAAGACATTTGGTAGCTAACGTTTTTAATTCGTCAATTTAACAAAACGTTTGTTAAGATGTTTTAAATAGGTAATCTCGATAAAAATTAATTTAGCCATAATGACTAATTGACAACAAAAAATTTCCCATTTGATTCTAACAGCACAACAAAGGAATGCAAATGATCACAAATAATACACAGTGAGAAGTATTGACACCGAAACATGAAAAATGCTGGGACATATTATTAGCACTAAATTGAATTAATGGATAAATTGGCGCATGAAAAATTTCAAGCTTTACCAATAAATTCATTAATTATTGAAAATGTGTCTGAATTTGCGCCGTTGTCAAATCAGTTTTTAGTTGAAATTGATTTTTTCCCAACTAGAATACACATCAAGGCCAGATATGAATAGAGCAATGCTCCTGGCTGTAATTTTCAATAGGCCACCCATCGAAACAAATCTTTTGCTGTATTGACATTTGGATATATGAAATCGTTTGTGAGTAACTGAAACATTTGGACTATTTTGAATGTTTATAATACTTTCATACAACTTTTAACTTGTCGCTTGCTAGTAATATGGCATAGCATCGTTTAGCCTTACACTCAACATCTACGAATGAATAAATGCGCACCGTTTTACCCCGAAAATAAGACCTAGACTGAATTTTAAAAATGATTTTAATAAAGCTCTCCCCTTAAATAAGACCTAGTCGATAGCGCGAATTTTTTTTGACTTAGTCGATAGCAACAGATTTTTCCTACTCGTTTTTGGTGATTAATAATCTATGTTTAGCAGTTATGTTATAAGTAAATGGATATCGGTTTTCATATTTTATATATTTGGGAATCTCGTAATTCTATACTTTTAATTTTGTTTTTGATAAATGAAAATAAAAGACATCTCACCAAAATAAGCCCTAGTGTTATTTTTCATAGGAAAATTGAAATAGGACACTGTCCTATTTTCGGGGAAACACGGTAGATATGCAAATTACTCAGCGTTATTTTTATTTTTAACTTCAATTGGTCAAGATAGTGTCCCGGTCTTTTAGGCCGGTAAAATTGCAAACCCACCGCATATTCCATTTTTGCAAGGTTCTCCCAATACTCGATTCTGACTATGACGTAATTCAATGAATTATTACGTCACCTCAGATTATACAAAAAAAACAATGCGATGACGCATCCTAAACCGAAAGTGGTAAGTCCCGAATCCAATGATACAGGGAATTGGGAAGTCGATTGTATTTAAAAAATAGACGTTTAGCAATTCCATAACTTAAAGTACAGTTGACGCATGGAAGTGCTGCTTACTAACAACCGAGAGATAATGAAAATTCGCAAGAATTATAACTCTATTCAAGCATGAATCATCCCAAGCAATAAAAAATCGAAGAAAGTTTTGGTAGACATGTGCGATTTTGCCGAAACACTTTCATGATTAAAATTTAGCATATAAGCAGAGTTGGAGCGTAATTGGAAAAAGACAACTTGAGAATTGTTGCAAGTACTAAGATATTTTAACGATCTGAACGAACAGACTGCAAGGAACTTCGAGTGTTTGTTAAAATGACTTTAGTAGCTTGGTGTGATTACAAAAATAGACGCATTTCCATATATCACTCACAATTTCACATTAAATTATTACCTTGATATGTCATTTGAATTCAGTTTTATTCCTTCAATATTTCCAGCATCGTCTTCTGGGTTGAGATATCGCAGTCGGGCTTTTTCGTCATTCATGTTTACTACCATGTAAGGATTATTCGCTTCCATCCAGTCCGTGTCTGGAGAGACTAAATGTTTTATCTCAGTAGTGCCATGTTTCAAGTAAAGCCAATTACTGTAGGGCCTAATTAATAAACTACATGGCAATTTTGTAGTAATTGGAAACGTTATTTTCTTAATTTCTAAAGCGACTATTCAACCGCTCAAAGGACGATCGGGAGAAAAAATAAATAGAAAAAAAATCAAATTTTGTTGCGTAAGCCTTTTTAATAGTCTGGTAAGATGATATACAGAGGGGATTACTTATTTTATCACCAGTCAAATTCTGACACCGACTCTCGGGAATTCAGAATTTCGAGAAAATACGATAACGGTTCCTAATCCAGTAAACACATGACGATATGGCTAGAGTTAGAATTATACAAGAAGTTGGTGAGAAATTCAATGAAATTATATTTTCTTTGTCGCATATATAGCTTTACTACTGGAATACAAGTTCACTTGACATGCAGTTTTCAACAACCAAGGTTGAAAATTTGTCCTAATCTGCGCTTTCGGAAATATATCGATATGGGATCGGTTCCTAGTTGAAATTTTATTTTTCATCTAACCAGAAAACATTTAAATAGCAGATGTGGATAGAGCAATAATCCTGGCTGTTATCTTCAATAACGCAAGCGCAACGCAATAACGTAGAAACATAACGATAGACTCGTATTTGAGTCAACAACAACAGTCAGCGTTATAAATTTCAACACTTCAATTTCCGATTCTACCACGCGGAAGTAAGGAAACACATACAAGGTTTACTTGAGTGTGTTCTCACAATAAAATTTAATAAGGAAACAACCATTATTATCAAATTTCATTGTGTTTCATATTGGTATAAATATATTTGCCCAATGTACAAGAAACAAATAACTTACCGTTTACGGATGGCAGTCTCGTAAATGCAGCATAAAAAATTAAACTGTAATGTCTTAAAAATCGTGGCCAACACTTGGAGTTTGTGCTCGCAATACAGCAGCAAAACACCACGAATACCATCCCTGCAAATTGGAATGAAGATAATTTATTTCAGAGTTCTTCTTGAGTGGCTGTTTGTGAATAATTAAATAAAAAAAAGTACAATTGTCATGGGAAAGTGAAATATAAAGTCAAATACGTGGCACTTTATGAGCAATAAACTTGCGCTACAGGATACATACTTCATGTTATATTTTCCCCTTCGATTGGTATCGAATTCGGGAATGTCCGCATGAAACATTGTACTTTAACAGTGAATGGTGGTGAATATGAATATTTTCTACCAAATGGCGGTTTTCCACTGAATATACAAAATCAATTTACTAATGAAAACGTTCATATGCGATTTCAAACTTCAGCTTTTCTGTTGTCTTTTATCGTGAAGATTTAATATCAATAAAATGTTTTTATATTAATTTAAATATTTCATTCGAATCTTATACAGGAAATGAAAACGGCAGAGTGAAGAAATATTATTGTAATATGAATCGAATATTCCACAAAATCTAACCACCAGAAACGTTTTTAGTATTTTACTCAATTCAATTCTGGTACTCAGCCTTTAAAACAATCTATACATATTTACCTATGAATATTATCGAAAATAGAACCAAGTACAAACGCAAATTCGTTTGAATTGTTCCTTTATCATCATCATCATCGTCCTTGGAATTCGAGGAAGTAGAACTTTCGATTATTGTCGCTGCAGTTGTCCTCGCATCTGCTTCAAAGCAAACACACATAATTTGTCGACTATCCGTTTAGACATTTAACAAAATGTAGAAATTAATCATAAAATCTTTAAATTGGGATAGGCAATTAGGAATAGTAGACTATTTTAGACTACTCAAATAGGATTCATAATATTGAATCCTATTTTTATATCATTTACAATGACTTATTAAGTTGCTGTATTTCCTTAAAGACACAAGACACAGGAAATGTTTGTTATTATTAAGGTGCTAATTTCCACAAAATTGATGTAACTTACCATCAACCGAGCCGGGTGCAGATTCATTCAAACCTATAAAAAAAAAAACATCGTTAACAAATATATTTAGGATATGTATTTCTCCACCGAGTTGGCTACTAAAGTTATTATCATCTATTATGTGTAACTTCCTCGACTATAAGTTTTACTGTTTACTGCTTACCAAATACTCCTGATCGTCCAGATGGCATCCGTTTGTTGCCAGTAATTGTTTCAATGGTATCCAAGTCGGGAAAATGCACGGTTGTGTTATATGGTCTCAGCGATGGTATGAGAACCATAATTAATAATATGCAAAGAGCAGCAACAACTAATGAAGTGAGTAAGGTGCAACCGACACAAATACACGTACGACGCCTGTTCGTTTTATGAGTTCTGTAGCGTGGTTTTTTGGTAGCTTTCTCGGCTGATACGCTTGTATCTGTCTGTTCTAGATTTGCTGCGAAGCTTTTATTTCGAGGGATTCCCGCTGCCATTTTCGCCTCTTCTTCTGCGTCATATCGCTGTTGCAGCTCATACTTTCGAAGTAATCCTGCGAAATAGAATTGCTGGGTTAGTTAGTGTGTGGCAGCAAAGTATACTACGCTATATGGACTGCAAGTCTGACAACCAATCTTAATGCCCAAATTTCTGCAACCTAAATAGTATTGCGTCGGTGTTGAGGTTAAGACATGGGGCTGAACTTGCTGAAAATGACATGGCGCATAACAGCATAAGACTTGTAGAATATTTTGTCTTAGTTTAATGTTTGTTACAACATTTTTAATGTAGTGGCAAAACAAGAGGAATGTGACTTTGTATGGAGGCTAGTCGTTATTTCGCTTTTTGTTTCAGCCAGACTCTAAAATCATTCCCTTGTAGTTTCTCTGTGCTATTCTAGGTATTTTAACCAGCGTAACAATAGATTTATTTTATGGTCACTTGTTCGATGTGCACAACGCACATATTTTACAAACCTTGAACGTGCTTGAGCAGGAAAGTTTTCCCGATACCCCAGGGACCAAATATTCCCACAGTCAATGGAGGACGGCAACTGTGTAATAGTTTCGCCAAAGCTTGAGCGTATACCAAATATCCCAATTGATCGACACCAGTATCGTTGTCATTCAACAGTTTTCCTGTTAATTAAAGAAAGTGAAAAATGACCGAAAAATCTGCAACGTGTATTGAGACATGGATCGCAGCGTGTATTTAGCCATGGATCGGTCTCTATGAGGGTAAAATTAATTGTAATTAGAAATAGTGAAAATTCGCGAGTTACTGTTATGAATTTATTCTTTGGGTACTAAACAATTCGAATTGAATAACTTCCAAAATGAAAATTAGAAACTAAGTAAATCTTCTATTGATTTAAAAAGTCAATGATGAAATGTTAACAATCAATGTTTAAATATCGTATCTAATTAAACTCATAAACAGTCTTTTATGGCCCATTAACAATATGGCGAAATACAACGAAAACCTAGAAACAAAACGTTTGCGCGACTGATAGTTTGCTCACCCGTCCCCTAAAAATCAACCCCACTTTCAATGAGGTCGCCAAATATGCCTGTAGAGTCAATAAAATGTAGATTGAAACATCTGTATTTTTAAATCCAGAAAAAGGCAGTCAAGATTTTGAAACCAGTAGGAATATCCAGTAGTAGCAAGCGACCAAGACGACATGGCGCATATCGTTATAAAATATTCACAAAGCTATCGTATTATTATTCTTCGCTTTTGATATTGTATCTGGCTTTCGGAGGGGCCAACTGCCAAACACACACACATTCTTAGAAACGGATATCTATAATCCTAAGTGGGGATATGTAACGATGGTATATAATTGATGGGAAATGCGTGAGCGATTTCAATTCGGTTAAAAAAATTTTAGACTTTTTGCCAATATTCAAACGAAATTATTAGTTGTAATGATTTGGTTTCTGCGAGACTGACTACTTATCCTTCTTCTATGCTTTTGTTCCGGTGGATTCGTATGTATATATTGCAAGGATGATGTAGCAAGAGTAAAGATAACTCTAAGTGAACTATGTATGTCTGACCTTGGCAGACGAAACGTTATAGAAATACATTTGTGTTATTGTGCAGCAAGACTTGAATTACTGAAATTAATAATGTTACTAAACAGCATCTTGCATTTTATCCAATGGCAATTTGCTTGTTTTCTTTTCACCAAGCCGCCCCATTTTAGATTCACAGGGGGAGATGGAAATAGAAAGACAAAACTCAGCGGGAAAAGTTTTAATAAAAAATAATGCTATTACGTACCGAGAGGCAGTACTCTTCTTTCTAGGTCAGTGTTGAAGTCGGTCATTATTCCTTTCAATAGCCTATAACATTAAAACTCAATAGAAAACATACTACAACTACGCTGACTATTCGGGAAATTATAACAATATTTTGAATATAGTCATTGCACTCCCTACACTGCGTAATTGACATGCGAGGTATCTTCCGAAACTAGCTTTGCATATTAGGCTTTTGTTTATACGGACTCACGGTCGAATCGACAACAGCTGAGCGCAGCTTATCGATTCCGCAATAGGCTTACGCCCTAGGCATATCACTCCATGCGGAGTTCCCACCTCGATTGAAACGTTTGAGTGGCGTGCGTAGTGCGCACATTCAATATCGACGAAGAGAGCCATCGTCCAAACGCTATACAAAAGGCGGATACTCAGCTCATGATACGTTTACATTTCACACTTCTTTTAAAACTCTACGGCAAGATATTTTGGTAAATGATGTCGTGTCAACTTCTACAATCAACATGATTGTTACGACACAAAGCTCATGCTGGCTCTATGAAAAGAACTATTGTCATGAAGCGATCATTTAAAATCAAATCTTTGTAGGTCATTACCGGAACACCATTTTATTTATTTATGATTCTACGATCGATTCCATTCCCAGCTTCATGAGACGAATTCCAGTGAAACAATAGAATGCTTTGGTATTCAAATATTGTACTATTTCGACTAGAGTGGGCAACCTTTGTATGCTAAAAGTGGTTTAATTCAGTAACGAAATTTGAGAGGACCCTGATATTTTTAAAAGCAAATTTAAAAACCTTGAATAAAGGATAAAAATTCCTCCAAACAGTGAAAACACAATATAACCAAAACTAAATTTATTCAACTTTGAACAAATTCTTCGCTTCTTTCAAAGAAAAGCATGCATAATATTAAACTTTTTAAGCAGGTATTAAGTTTGTTTTCAAGAAAATATCAGTCCGGCAAGAAAGATTTTAATACTTTTTTATTCTATATCAGTGAGGCTCCTGCATTTCCGCTGACAGAGGTTTTATATCAGGCTTATATGTTGTGACCATATCAGAGAAATACACGAATTACTTGTTTTATCAGTCATGCCATTCTCTATTACAAGACTTGAAAAAGTTTGAAACTGAGAACAGAGATTCACAAGCATACGTAGATAAAACATGTGGAAGGTAATTCAGTTGTAACATTTTTTAAGCACGAACAATTTCCAGGAATGGCATTCCAAGCCGGCAATAGTTCGTTTTCAGCACTTCGCTCTTGTATTACCTTCTCTAATCTGTACTATTTGATTTTTTTGTAATAAATAGGTTGAAGAAAAATGGATGAAAGAACTTGCCAAGCGCTCCTTATTTGCAATAAACCCGTCAAAACGCCACAAATATCGATAGAGGCTCACACACATCTTCTCAAGCTGTATAGTTCAGTGGTTTGCGCAGTGAGATGCAACTAATAAGCCATTATGTGAACGACCGACCCTGCTACGATAGCGTCGAAACCACCTTGCGAAAATTGAAATGAGATCGCATAAAGAAGTTTATATTACCTTGAAAAACTCTATCACTTCAACCTTAAAAAACAAAGTATGCTAAGCATAAACTAACCGAACAGTATCAACCGTAATAATAATGTCCTTATTTTATATTTGATGAGAAAAATGCCAATACATGAACTCAAAATCCATATTATGGCTTTGCTTCATAACAGATTAGTTGTTTGCGTCTTTGCATCAGAGGACTCTTACAATTAGCATAGGCCGGGGGTAGGGCTGGGCGTTTCGAAACACTGATATGTCGAAACGACGCTGTTTCGACTTCCGAAATGGACATTATGACATCATCGCAAAAACAATCTGAAATCAGTCAAAATATCATTCAGCGATGTCCAAGTCTAATTTCATATCCGAATTTATTCGAATATCGCTACTCTCAAATATCGTTTTTAGTGTTTATGGGAATATTGAATATCGCGCACACGTCCCGGTGCCATCGTCCACGTTCATTTTACAATTATTTCACTATATGTTTTATCGTAATTGAAGACACTCTTTGCGACTCGCAATGAATTACTGCCTACATGAAAGGATTTAAGTCAGCACCGACATACAGTATGTATAAAATGTCGTGGAAGTTTTTGAATGAAAATATTTTACAATTATTATCGTATATTTCAACATAGTCGAGATAGTCTGGGTTACTGCGACAATAAATCTAAAATCAAATTTTGTCGTAATTAATCTTTTTCATCCTTAGTTTCTATAGTGACCGAGCATTTTCTGCAGGCTTGTCCATGGGACAAATTTTTCTGTCTCATCCCATCCCATCCCACAGCAATTTAGGCTTGTCCCATCCCATGGGATTCCCATTGAAAATACAATTCAAAGAAAATCGTTAAATTTAGGCTCAACGTGTACTAAATATAGGGATACATGTACAAAGAGACATATAAAACGGCAAAATTTATTATTGAAAATTTCGAAATTGACCCGTAATTGAAAAAATAAACGTTTGTAACTATAGGTAGAAAAATTGAAACAATGAGAACTATATCAACAGTAAAAACAACAACAACATAATAATACGATCAAAAAAACGTCCACGAAATAGGGCCGCATGTACAAAGAAACATGCAAAACGACAAAGATTGTTGTCTTTTTCAACTTGAAACATTCACAACTTTTATATAACCAACAAGAGAGCTATGCTCATATATATGGACACGAAGTACATAACCAAATGTTTTACCATCAGTTCCAAGAAAATCATACGGTTTTCTGAAGAAAAATTGAAATTTTGGATGAAATATCAGGTCTTATAGGATTCAGAGAAAATTTAAGACAAACAAACGAAAGCTACAAGCCTTGTCGCAAAAATACAATCAAAGATTAAGAATTTCGAAATTGGTCCAGAAATTAATTAAAAATATAAATGTTTTTTTGTTCATAACGATAGGCAGGAAAATTCCAACGATGAGAACTAAAGCAACAAAAAGAAAGCAACTACATAATAAAACGATCCATAGGTCCACTACGTGTCCCACAATGGCACTTTTATGCTATTTCTAAGTCACTTTCCTCATCATTCAACAAATCATTAATTTCCTGTTCATCGACTAACAATTCTGCTAATTCGGAGACCTGAACTTTTTCGTTTATTTTCATTTTTGATGCATATTTGATGTAGACGGAGTTGATAACCAAAGAAGGTAACATTCGTTGTCGAAGTTTAGTCAGAAACAGCCCGGCCGCACTGAACAAACGCTCTACAGAAGCAGATGATACCGGATTACCGGTACGGCCAAAACAATTTTTGCTCCAGCTTTCAATAATGGGAATTTGTGTTCGTTTTTCCAGTAATCCATTGGGTGGGAATTTGGTTGCCGTAATTTTTGAAACAGGTTGACTTCATTCTCAAGATTATTGTTATTTATCGGGCCATCATATTTAAGTGCTTTCTTAGGTACAGGGTCAAAAAGTACGTCGAAATCACTTTTTGGTTTTTGTTCCACAATTCCTGCTACGTCACATTCACCAGACGATCCAGAAGAAAGATTCAAATCACTCAAGAATGAAATAACAGTTGTAATAACAGACTTAGAAAAAGCAATCCAGCCATTGGCCCATTTAGAGATGTTTACATCACTTTTCTTCTGAGTAACTGACTTGACCATGTCTTCTATTTTTGCTGAAATATCAACTCCAGTGAGGAATGCAGCAGTAACTGCCAGAGAACTGCCGCAATATGGCCAAAGTTTCTCCCCAATAATACTGTGAAAGTTCTGACAATATTTCTTTACCATACTGCTGGAAGTTTCTTTGTCAATATCAACAATAACTTTGTACAACTGATAGTCTAGGATGAAGTATAACAGCAAAATAAAATGAGATGTAGCACCATCAATTTCTAATTTGTCAAAAAAGGTTTTAAATTTCTCATGTATAAAGAGCATTCCTTTAATCTGAGCAAAACTCGGAATGTGATTCAGAAATTCCTCATCATCTTCATTACAGTAATGTGAGTAATTTTTCAAATGGGCATTGAAACGTCGGTAATATTATCGCCATTCCCGTGTTGCAGATTTTGGTGGGATAGAAAACGGGAGCTGTGATGCCTTTGACTGACGTGTATTGTAATATGTTTCGATATATGAAAGTTGGCACATGAATTGGTCCAGTTCAAAAATCACGCCCACTCTGAAGCTATCGGTAACGCATGTTGATAACCTGTGCTCAGTACAACCAGATCGATGAATTTGTATATCGGTATCAAACCGTCCATCAAACGCGGCCTTCATGGTTGCTGCATTATCCGTACACAGATTCACTATTATCAATATTAATATTAGTTAGAGGAAAAGTAAACCATTTCCAATTCTGATCTAGTCCACAGGCAATAATTCCACCATAAGGCAACAGGTATGTTTGTCTAGCAGACCAAAAATCAACTATTCCTGAAATTGCACACTTTGGATCTTGTGCCATATTTTGAAACAATTTCTGAAATTGAAGTTTTGCTAATTTTCCTTGTTTCAGAATAGAACGAGACACTGTTTGTCGTGATATTGTGTAATTATATACCTTGTTTGCAGCATGAGTAGGCTAGATCTTGCGATAAAGCTAGCAGCATCACATAGAATGTCACAACCAGCCGAAATAGATACTGTGGGATGTGATGTAAGTAGTTTAACAATTGTTTTTTGCCACGTATTCGCCAATGCTGCTGGTGGTTTTTGTACTTCCTGCTGCTTGGCATCAAAATATCTTTTGATATCCTTAGACGCGCCAGAAGAACCACATTTTATGCTATGCTGTATTGCAACTCCGTAACCACTTTGATTAACCCATTTTCCATTGATCAACTTATACCAACTGTATAGAGTTTTGCACTTTGCGCAGCAAAGAAATGATGCCAAAATACCATCAGATATTTCCACCGCTTTAACATTGACAGTTGAAGACTTTACATGTTCTTTTGGAACATCAATCAAGTGGCATTTTTTATCACTTAACATCTTGGAAACCACACTTTTAGATAGATTTTGGAACTCATATTTTTGATTGCTCATTTTCGGGTGTTGGCAATAACTGCTCCACAGCATTTTTTATCAAACCCAGCTCAACAATTCAGATTTAACTCTCCTCCGTACCGGTAGACTATAATTCGTCTTCCTAGTTTAAAATGCTAGAAGCGAAAATATGACGTAACAATGGTTCCCGGCGTAAGTTTGGCTTTTATATTCCAGCCCAATCAAGCGTACTGTCGTGATACCACAGAGAATGATGGAGTCACAGAGTTGACCCTCTATAGTGATACCACGTTACTTCACTACCATGTTAAAAGTTAAAACTGCACCGTTGAAGACAATAAGACATAATGATAATTTTATACGTGCACAAAACGTAATCTTATGTAGAAATGGGTGACTTAAAAATTTCCCACGTGGCCAATGGGAATTACAAATTTGTGTTGTCCCATGTGGACGTTTCCCATGGGATTCCCGTGGGAATCTCATTCCCATGGACAAGCCTGATTTTCTGCATTTGCCCCGTATGAACTAGCTCTTAAATACCGATTAGTATCTATCGCAGATTTTATTGATACACTGGGGTCGTTAATAATAATATAGTTCAGTGCAAGTTTGCGGTAATAATTTATAAGCAATAATAAAAGCATAACAGTCGACGTGAAATATTCAAATCAGAACCGACTTGAAGAAAAATGAAACACGATTTTCAGTCTTAACTCTACGTCATTGGCGGATGAAAATTTGTGAATTGGGTCGACTCATTTGATTACGACGATAATCGCGTTATAAGCAAAATAAACAGTCAAAATTTGTGGGGGGAGGGATAATTGTGGTGGAATTTAGCTTAACGATGTAGATGTCATGCCGGCGATAAACAGTCACAACGAAAGTTAGCTGCGACAAAAATCCGAATTTATGTTAATTTTACTTTTCAATTTAAAACATTTCTCTTGGCGCCTTGTTGTAGCTAATTTCAATCAACGATAATATCATGAAACCCCATTTCCTGTGTTCATGGAGTTAAGAATGTATTTGGAATTCAGATTCAAGGATATTTTTTAAAATGTATTAGTCAAGTATTCGGTCGTGGCTCTCCTTGGTATTATTACCCCACTGGATCACAAGGCTCTGTGACATCGGATAATATAGAAAATTATCCCAGTTATTACATAAGATGGGGGCAGGGTCGCATTGACACGTTGAGAGGCCCCATGCTATCTATGCTGCTTGTGAGCCCATCTCTAACAATGACGTAATTCGTAATGATTATTCTGATGCCATTTGGTCACTGCTTTGTCATTAGCAGAAACCTTCATTGAATTATTATTATCGTTTCATGCTCTCTATATCTATATATATTGCTATGAATCTCTCACTTGTATGAATTCTAATGTGTATATTTAATTTTTTACGATTGTCATTATACACGTTTGTCAATTTTTCGTGCTTTAAATTTTGTGTTAATTCTTGCATGATAGAAATAAATTATCTGAATCTCGAATTAGCCTCTAGTGCTTCGTTTTTGTGGTTTTAATTTTTGAAAATATGTGCAATTATACATTAAATTCGATGAGTAATAAGAGTTTTATTGTTTTTGATAAACGTGTGTTTCATTTCGTTTCAAAGGCAAAATTTTGTTTCGATTTCGAAACACCAGTGTTTCGTGCAATATCACCAGTGTGCAATATTCAGGTGCAAAGCAAATAACTCAGCGAGCATTAGGCACCTGAGGAGTTTTAGTGTATTTGCAGTTAATCACAAAACGCACTGAAAAAATTAAGATAAGCTCCATGAAATGTGAAACTCAACCCCATTTTTACTTTCCACAGAAAGGTATTACAGTATTGGTCTTAGTGAAACCAAATTAAATGCGTTTAAAGCTATAAAATAGCTTGAAGCGTTTATCAATCGAATGTACCAATATAATCATGGTCTAAGTCTCTAAGATTATTTAAAGGATTGTAACATTGTGTTCTCACAGCAGCCTTATGGCATCAGAGATCACATTCCTGACCCATACGAGGGCTAAAATATAGACACATGTTGTACAAGTACCTCGGCAATGTCTTGCGCATAATCTGGAAAACTAAGACAACGTGTACAAGACAAAGAACAACACTTGCCATTTTTGGGTGTATCAAAGGTTCAGTCAGCCGAAATATACAAATATTGAAATTAGTCTTGAAGGTTTGCAAATATTTTACAGGAATACGCATGTAATGGCTTCCAAAGATATACGCGATCCACGCATAATCGAAATACAGATGTAGAAGAACGAGAACCGTTGTAGCGGCCATCTTTACCCCTCCATACAAAGGCTTCCTTTAATTTTCCCCGAGGCCTCAGCAGGAAGCTCCCATGCGTTCTTTTTTTCACTTGGATATACCCAGTGGGGGATTCAAATTTTTTGTGAGCCGGTTCCATCACAAAAGTCATATTTTTCAGCCGGTTCTGTTACAAAAAGTCATGTTTTCTTCAGTAATGCTAACCGGTTCGCTGATCTCGTAAAATTACGTGCGGCCGGTGCGAACCGGCTGAATCCCACCACTGGATATACCGTCTTTATGACATCCAAATTAAATTCAAATTTGACAAAATTTTAAATAGCTTTCTGGCGGTTTCAACCGCATAATAACCAAATATGAACACAGGGGAACAACAACAAGAAAATTGCAAAATGACCCACATGTACATTCCGTGTCTAGCATGCTTGCATATACGGATAAGAACACAAATGAAATGTCCAACGCAATGTCAGTAGTGCGCAAATGGTTTTAAAAAAAACAATACCGAAAGAACTATAGTGGCATAAGTAGCAAAACACAACACATGGAATCGATCTCATATACAGCTTGCCACTTTCAAGTCAGATTTGGGAAGATTTCTTTATATTGATTGATTGACTGACTGACTGGTTCCATCTGCGCGATGACCTCAGCTAACAAAGGTTGCTGTTTGCAGTGTCATTGCTGGAAAATAGTATAAGGCGATTGAACCAAATTGTGTTGAGCAATAATAAACTTATTATTTATATTATTATAAATAAATTAATATTGTTTATATTGCAATATATATTTAAGGAACGAATTTTTATTTCTCCCCCCCCCACCTCTGAAAAAAAATTGCCGTTTACAATGATTTAAATCGATGATCCCATACATCTCCAATCAATAAGGACTGCAACCATTCAAGAATCGAAATATATACATTTAGTATTTGAAAATATGACCATTCAAAGTAGAAAATTATTCTTGGTAGGATTAAAAGTCACACATGCTTACACGAACAGCCAGCCATAATGAGACCGTGGTAAACTCTAGCGTGACCTATTCCAGATTTTCACCACAGTGCTCCAAAGCTTACTTCCTGTTGGCGGTGCATGCGGCTAGGGGAGGAAATTGTAATACAAAAAACAGGAAGGCAAAAAAAACTTTTCACGCTTGTAAGAGTCAATATGTAAACAGTGATAATACTAAAACTATTTTTTTTTATTTCGCTTTCAGTCAGGATAAAACTTTACATTCATCAATAGATGAACAACTGATGATGCGCAGAAGAAAATTGCAGTTGATATTAGTAGAAAATGTACTTGGTACTAGAATAAAATGATTGGGGGCATTATCATTAAACTGAAATGAAACCAGAGAACTTCTATTTTGTGAATATTCATACTCTGGTTTCGTGCTAAAAATTGAATTTAGTGAATTTATTTGTTGAAGAGATAAGCGACAAGATGGCTTTGAATCAGCATTGAAAATATGTAAACCTATTGCTTGTTCAAGAAATTTTCGTTTACTGGAGTTTCTCTTGGATACCTGAAATAAAGTTACATGTAGAATACCATGAATATTAGAATTGTTTTTTAATGATATATAGATTTGAGGATTTTCATGAAAAGTGTTTGATTGTCTGGTACCGCCACTTGTACATAAAGCCCTCCACTCACCGTATACCAGCTTTTCAGAAATAAAATTCTGGTAAATCGATTGATTGAAAACATTCAAAATACAATTTAAATCAGTCGTGGTATATGTTACCCTTGGTCTAAATTCAATTAGATCTTCCAAGAAAACATTGACACAAGAGTTTGAAGATTTGGCTCCAGATGAGCTCTGCCAAGGATTCCATATTTTAACTTTAATGCTGCCAATATTGGTATCATCTAGTTCTACCAAAGCATAGCAATGCAATTCTTGTGTCAAGATATTTTTGGTATCAGTTGTAAGCGCTTTGTCGCAACTAACAAAAACATTTGAATCCTGAGTACCATACTTGTTTCTTGATTTATTTATTAATTTAATTCTTGCTAATAAATATTCCATCTTTGTTATACCATTTGATACCTCCTCACACCAAGTATATCCACCAGTTACAAGTAAAAAACCTTCAGATACTCGTCCTGATATCAATGATTCATAGCAACCATAAAGTTTCGCACAGGCTTTTTCCAGCAAAGGTGCCCAAAACTGTGATGAATCATTGCAACTTCCATATATTAGTTTATATTGACCATCTTTATATATTGTAGGCAGTCTGTCATCAATAGTAATTTTCTCCCAAACACCATTCACCCACAATTGAATGATAATCTTCCCCTTATAATCACTGTTGGAAATATCGAATTCACAAAATTCAAACACTTTGTTCCACACGGTCTCTGATTTTGCGAGAGCATAGAATGCACAAATCAACCAGCAGTTTCCCAAATTTCCCTGCATTGGTAAGGAATAATTATCCATCTTTGCTAGTACTGAATTTGTAGACAAGTCCTGTGGTCTTTTCCAGTGAATTTCTTCTTCAAGTTCCTTTGCGTCAAAAAACATACTTGAAGTTGTTGCGGGAAAAGTATCATCCACCCACATTTTTATATTTGATAGCAGATAAAATACAGTGTTTGTTCAAACACCTATAATGCCAATATTATGCTCTAAAAAATTTAGTTGGTATGCACATTTAGTTATAATAAGCATTTATAATAGGAAGCAATTAGGCAATTAGCACAAAAGTCACAAAAATTAACCTCATCCACCAAAAATCCCAGTACTGTGTTAATTATGAATTGGAGTCATTAGTCATATAGAATTAAGTAGTTGGTAAGGTGAAACAAGTTGGCCCAAGAATCATGAACTTAACTTGCACAGAAAAAACCAAGCATTCTAACTGTTCTAATGGGCATGAAGCCTGCAGATAATTACCCGTACCATACTGTCATACTAATTCGGTAACGTACTGGTACCAATATTTACAGTGGTAAAGGTTTGGAGGAAGATCTCTGAATAGGATAACTCGTCTACATGGACAATTCACCAGAGAGAACTCGCCTAATTACACAGGGGTTGGTTTTTTTGTCTATTCACATTTTCTATGGCAAAGTTTTAAGTGTAATTTAAATTGGATGAAATAATTCATTAGGATAGGATTTACATATTTATCCCGGGGGAGTGGAAAGCGATAAGACGGCTTATCAATATGGTGAACCACGGTCTCTCGCCCGGTTACCATTTACTCTGCGTGGGTTCGCAGGTTCGAATCCCATGCAGGGATGGTTATGTGCGAGAGGATTGCTGGACTCCTCACCGTCGTTGGGTGGTTCACGTAACCGCTGGTCGGTTACGGCTTCCTCCACCACCAAGTCCATGCTTCCGAAAACAAACAATACAGTAAAACTAATCCCATATACCCGACTTACCATTCCAAGTCGGGTACCGGTATCAGATTAGTTTTTACTGTATTGTTTGTTTTCGGAAGCATGGGCTTGGTGGTGGAGGAAGCCGTAACCGACCAGCGGTTACGTGAACCACCCAACGACGGCGAGGAGTCCAGCAATCCTCTCGCACATAACCATTCCTGCATAGGATTCGAACCTGCGAACCCACGCAGAGTAATTAGAGGTGCGGTGGCGAGCGTATTCCTAACGCTTAGCCCGTTGAGCCACACCGTCGCGTCATTGTTGCCATTTACAAACTTGCATGTTTCACGAAGAAGACACTTACCGTATAGTTACGAGAAATACGAGTTACCGCGGCGGTGTGGCTCAACGGGCTAAGCGTTAGGAATACGCTCGCCACCGCACCTCTAATTACTCTGCGTGGGTTCGCGGGTTCGAATCCCATGAAGGGATGGTTATGTGCGAGAGGATTGCTGGACTCCTCGCCGTCGGTGGGTGGTTCACGTAACCGCTGGTCGGTTACGGCTTCCTCCACCACCAAGCCCATGCTTCCGAAAACAAACAATACAGTAAAAACTAATCTGATACCGGTACCCGACTTGGAATGGTAACCGGACGAGAGGCCGTGGTTCGCCATATGGATAAGCCGTCTTATCGGCTTTCCTCTCCCCCGGGATAAATATGTAAATCCTATCCTATCCTACCACATTTGCGCTGCCGGTATAGACTATGCGCTGCTTCCAATAAATGAGGTGAAAATCCAAATTTTAACAGCTGTAGGGGAATTCCCATGGTCAGATAATCTCAGTTTATGTTTTTGAATAGTTCTCGCTTTTGCGAAAATGATATTTTCATGTTAATATGAGAGTATTGTGGTAAATTTAATAACGATTCTTCAGAATGGAGCCAATTTCTATATGCAGCAAGTTTGACCCAGAAAATAAGACCGTCATTCAACTTGGCAAGTGCAGTTTCAAGTATTTTGTAGCGTCTGAACTGAACTCTCAAGCTGCCGCAAAACCAATGGACCTTTACCCGAGCATCGACTTCCTTGTTTACCTCGTGACATTGGCCAATCAGCAAGATGCAAAAAGTGACATAACAATGCTCCATTTTCGTATCCGCTCAGACAGATTTTCAGCCGTGATCGTAAACATTACTTCATTTTCGCGTTTTTGAACTTTATTCGTTAGTTTTCAGTTGTGTTTCGGAAATTTAAATATAAATCAGATAATTCAATGATCACTCTGTCTTCGCTAGCAGTTCCCAAACTATGGGTCGCGACCCACTGGTGGGTCGCAAAAGGAATCTTAGTGGGTTGTGAAAAGATGTAGAAAGCTTTGATTAAATATACTGGTTATTAGGATCGTTGGCGACTCGAATACGTAAATGTTCAAAAAGCCAAATTAAATTGAATTGAAATTCTAATCTGTGAAAGTTTCCTTTTCACGATCTTCTCAAAGGAACCCAAATTTGCTACACAAAAAATGACCATGTGGCTTTTTTACGCATAGCAGTTTTGTACACTGTACAGCACTTCTTACCGTGTTTCCCCAAAATTTAGACAGGATTTAGATTTATTTTCTTTTGAAGAATAACACTATGATTATTTTTAGAAGAGGTCTTCTGTGTTCATTTTTCAAAAATAAAATTACATTGTAGAAAATCACGAAATTTTTTGATAAAAAATTATATAGAAACGGACATCAGTGGTTTTATTTGTATTTCCTATACAAAAATCAAGTGACAAATATCATAATTGTGACATCAGACAATCTTGAACAGTGGTGTGATCTTCACCTTACCTCATGTCATTGAACCTTTCCTCTCCCACACATTTTAAATTTATTTTGAGAGTAGGGTTTAATTAAAATCATTTTTAAAATTCAAATTAAGTCTTATTTTCAGGCCAGGTCTTATTTTCGAGAAAACACGGTAGTTTTGCGATGATTAGCCATTGCTGTGTTCTGTGCTATGTCATAAAAAGTTAAATGGGACGCCATAAGCTGTGATAATAAATAGTGGGTCCCAACTCTAAAAAGTTTGGGAACAACTGGACTAGGCTAAAAAATTTTATTGGTACTTTTAAAAAACAGATTGTTGTATGCGATGAATAATAATGATGGTTTGAAACAAATACCCCATTTTACAGGCGCCAACTCGCGAAACGACTCTTAAAATAAGCCCCGAAAATTTCGCAATGGTAAAGTATAGGAAGGAATTTGGGGGGTCAAGGACTGGAAAGGTCCATTGTTTGTCTATTCCAGGGTGGTCCGAGGTTGTCCGCCTCGCGGGCCACTCTAATATTTTTGTATTGTTCGCGGGCCACAATAGTGCCAAGAATAGATAAACAATACAATATATATATGTGCAATACAAAAAAACTTTTTTAATGTCCAGGCACATTGATCATTATTTGTCATTTATCGAGCTAAAACATTCAAAAACCACCGAAAAACTCAACGAAACGAGCAAAAATCTTTCTATATGTACATTTAGTGTATGATTTCAAACTCTTCCTAACAGAAAAAGTGCCATAAGGAAAAAATGCCGTTTTAGATTGTCGCCGACACAACTTGCAGACATATTAAGCAAGCATTGTGGTATTTTCCCGGTCATATTCAGTCAAAATCTGTTTGAATTGGTTAGCTTTCTTTTCAAACTCATGTTTAAAAAATACCTTACAAATAACTGCAGAGATTCATTGATTACCGATTTTTACCAAATTTGAGATATAGGAGGGTAATCACTGAGTTTTCTGACATATAGGCAGCATTTAATGTAATACTATTTGGGCTGGTTGCAATAAAACATCCGCGGGAATTATATTGTTCACTCATTACATTAATATTTAGTTATCAGGCATAGCCAACCTAGGCTAATGGATTCCTCATTCGATTTTTAGATTTCTATAAAGCTTATATTGTTAGCATATATTCCCGACCAAAAAAATAGAAAGTCAGTTAACAATTCAGACTAGCCAAGCAAATTATTCAACTTCGCAAGTTGCCTCAGCTAACCATAACACTAGTCAATTCAGTGACATTAGTGATATAACAATATGTCAAAAGATTTTTCTGGTTATTTTTATGACAAAACAACATGCGTTTTTTTGTTTACCCTCGCGCAAGTTTGACGCGGGCCACAGGTAATGAAGCGGCGTGCCACATGTCGCCCGCGGGCCTGGGTTTGAACACCCTGGTCTAATCAATAATAACTACGATGCCAGGTTTTGCAACATACAAACATCGGAATGGCAACATCGAAAAAACGTATTCGAAATATCAGAACCGCAGAAAATCCCATTTCCGGAATTTTACCAGAAGTACTATAGCAACGTGCTCTATCTAGTACCTATATTACCTATAACTATTTTCTGCATGAGCTTGCTCCCACTTATAAGTGTTTTGTTGTACATGTAATATTTGTTCCCAATTGATTGTCCAATTTTTTTGATGGTGCTGAATTGTTGTGCTTCAGGTTTTTCTACTATTTCCTGGTTTCATTTTAATTGAGGATAAATCTTACTAAACTAACGAAGAAAGAATATCTATGGACCAGAAATGTTTTTGATACAAAAACCAAACTTTCTTGCATTGTATCGCGTTATTCTGATAATAAGTAAACATAAAATATATATTCATAAAAACTTTTTTGTTCATAGAATATATATATTTAATACATATTCCGGAATTGGAAACGATCATGGCTGGTGATACAATCGAGTTTTTCAAAAAAGAAACATCAAAACAATTGAATGAAAAGTTCAAAAGCACAAGCAATCTTTATTCCTATTCTGATGATCCTTGTAGGTGCCTTGTCTATTTTCTTTCATCTGGAATAATGAATTTATATTGTTTTATCCTAAGTAGGTGTCACAAAATTTTGAGCTTCCTCTTTTAATCCATTTTCTTCCACCGTCGATGCAACATAATCAGGACATAACGGTAGCCATCCTGAACCTTTCACACCAACACAACATGGAGGATCATAAGCCTTCATTCCTTTAGTTTCTGAAGATATTTGATCATGAAATAACCCCCGTGATTCTCTAGAACCTGTTAATAATATAAAAAGTTACAAACGCATCAATGCGCGGATCAATCAGTTGCAAACAGTTACAAATCATCATCATACAATCAGTTACAAACATCAATGCGCTGATTGCTTCTCAATACATAAACTAAAAAACTCAATTTTAATACAACCACTCACTTCTAAATAAATTACTTCAAGAATCTGCCAGACCTATGAACTCATTTC